GCCATCTCGTACCGCTTCCCGCGAGGGGTCAGCCAGAGCCTGTGGGACGTGTTCGCGTTCAGCTTCAAGACCGAGGAGAAGGACGGGCTCCTGCTGCACGCGGAGGGCGCCCAGGGCGACTACGTGACACTCGAGCTACAGGGGGCGCACTTGCTGCTGCACATGAGCCTGGGTGAGCGACCTGGGGGGGACTCGTGAGCGAGGCGGCCCGCCCACGCCTGACGTCCCCTCTCCGGTTCGGACCAACCCGCCTTTTTCGTGTAGAATTTAGTGCTAGCAGAACTCTGGACCCCGAGTCAGCAGAACTGGATTCCAGTCTCAGCTCTACCGGCTGCTGGCTGCTACCCCAACCCTAGTCTCCTCAATGTAAAAACATATCACACACACACACACACACACACACACACACACACACACACACACACAAGTATTTTTGTGTCTAATTAGTTTTTCATAACATCCACATGATGAAGTAGAAGCAGCTATTGTGCCCCAAGTTTTACCGATAGAAGTTCAAAGAGGTTAAATGACTTGCCCTAAGTCACATCCTTGCCAATGACCACTGCTCCATCCCAGCCCCGGTAGTCCCATCTCTATGCCCACCCTCCCTGGCTGCTGCTTCCTGGGGGCCAGGGCTCACTGGGGTCCTCCGGGTCCAAGGTCTGACCTCGCCCCGCCCCATCCTCAGGCAGCAGCCCCATCCAACCCCGGCCTGGCCACACCACGGTGAGCGCTGGTGGGGTCCTCAATGACCAGCACTGGCACTATGTGCGTGTGGACCGATATGGCCGCCAAGCAAACCTCACCCTGGACGGCTACGTGCAGCGTTTCATTCTCAATGGCGACTTCGAGAGGCTGAACCTGGACAATGAGGTGAGCAGAGCAGAAGGAGTCATTTGGTTGAGGGGGGTGCTGGCTGGGTGGGTGGGGGACAGCACTTCCCTCCACCAAAGGTCAGACCTTGCTTCCTGGTGCCGCCTGAGACTCATTGAGATGGGGTTTGGACATCTGGATTTTGAGGATTGGGCAAGATGAGAAAATTGCCCCCTGGGATTGCCCAGCTGTGCGGGATTAAAGACCCTGGCCTCCGTCTGCACAGAAGGAATCCCAGAAAGTTTTATTGACCTACTCAAGGCCGTGCAGCCACTTTGTGGTGGAGTTAGGACTAGAACCCAAACCTCAGGAGGCCCAGCGAGCTTCCAGCTTTAACACCGACATTGGGGAAATGTGTGTTTCAAGCCTTTTATAAAAAAGCTGTATGGTGGGAGCTCCAGGAAGGTGCATGCGCTCCCGCACCCAGGGAACCTCACCGTCATTCCCTACTCCGCAGATGTTCATTGGGGGTCTGGTGGGCGCACAGAAAAACCTTGCCTATCGGCATAATTTCCGTGGCTGCATGGAAAATGTAATCTTCAACCGAGTCAACATCGCGGACCTGGCTGTGCGGCGCCATTCGAGGATCACCTTCGAGGCCAGTGGGCTGGGGATCTGGGAGGATGGGACATCAGAGCCACTTGGAAAGCCAAGAAGTGGAGCAGGAAGAGATCTTGACCACAGATACAAGTTCAGGACCTCTCCCTCCCTAGCCAGATGCTCAAGTGGGGGGCATGATGAAATTACAGGAGGGGCAAAGTCCACCCCTCTACCCCAGTTAAGAAGCGGCAGTAGAACCACGGGAAATCCCCTCTGGATGTTGGCAGGAAGGAGGAGTCGCCCTGAAGACGTTGTAGATCAGTGATAGCAAGAGAGCGGAGGCCCCCTGTACAGCTGGACCTGTTTCTAGGAGGGTGGAAATGTCAGGGTTGAAGGTCTTCCCCGTCACCCCCACACTGAGGTAGTGCTGTGACAAAGATCTTAGACCAGTACAAAAATAGGATTCCCAGAAAGGTGGGGTGGAAACTTGAGGCCACTGATGGGTCCTTGCTTTCGCCTCCAGGGTAAGGTGGCCTTCCGCTGCCTGGACCCGGTTCCTCACCCGGTCAACTTCGGAGGTCCTCACAACTTCCTGCAAGTGCCTGGGTTCCCTCGACGTGGCCGCCTCGCAGTCTCCTTTCGCTTCCGCACCTGGGACCTCACCGGACTGCTACTGTACTCCAGCCTGGGAGATGGACTGGGCCACGTGGAGCTGATGCTCAGTGAAGGGCAGGTCAACGTGTCCATTGCACAGACCGGCCGAAAGAAGCTTCAGTTCGCTGCTGGTGAGGGATGGGTTGGGGGTGGGGCC